GGCAGGTTATTTTGTGACTTCAATTCCCATGATGTCACGGCCCACTCACTTTGGTGATAGAAATACCACACCACGGGGATGGGGTTATATTTAGCTCTTAAAGCTGGGTCATCAGAAATAGAGGAGCAAGTTGTTCTATTTTAATAAAAAATTAGTGCAATCTTTAGAAAACCACACCCCAAAGTGATATAATTCTATCCTAGAGAAAAAGGAAAAGACATCAGAAAAGATTGGTGCGACGATCAAAGTTCTAAATATAACACAGGTGGGTTGAATTAGACAAATTCCACCTCCAAAACTCAGACTGGAATGTCATGTTAAAAATGTTACTTTGCTTTTGTGGCATTTGGTGTTCACTCCCATCCCTTATACTTTCTGCTCAATTTCCATTGTGCAAACTGGCCCTATTCAGTCAATAAATATTTTCCAAAAGCCCACATCCCATCCTCGGACAATTCAGATCCTCTCTGAGCATCTTGTCCACAGGTCTCTCCCTGAGGACACCAAATCAGTGTCATTCTAGCAATGACTGACTGCCTTTTAGGAGGGTCTACCATGTGTCAGGCACTATGCTAGGCATTGTACATACGTAATATCTTTTAACCTTCACCACAAATGAGGCAGAAGTTTTGCACTGATTTGGAAGCTCAGAAAGGCAGCAACTTCTTCAGATGGGTTGAGCCAGGGTTTGAACTCAGGTCTGCCCAACTTCAGGGCTGGTGCTTATAACATCCACCACATTGCATGATCTTCTATTGAAAGGTCCTTCCTTGAACATGGGACGTGCCATCCCGGAGATAACATGCCAGGACCACCAGGAACCAAGAGGAATAAGCAGGGGTCTGGCCTGGCATATGCTAATGGTTGGTTTGTTCCATTTTAAGCAAACTTAAGTTAATAGCTCCCTCGGCCTTAGAAGCAGAGCTTCAGGTTGAGGGGGTAGCTCAGTGGCAGAACATATGCCTACCATGTGCAAGGCCATGGCTTCCATCCCTGGCAGCGCACACACACATGCACACACACACATACACACACACACACGTCAATAGGCATTTTCTCCAGGGTAGCCATACTACATATAAAGACTGCTTTTACCTGTTCAGGGCAGAGAGGCTGAGTTGTTTTATTTTCCTAGAATAGAGACTCCATTGCTCATGAAAACAGCAGCTGGCATCTGTTGAGCATTCAGGATGCACTAGGCAGCATTCCTAGTGCTTTACCCCAATGACCCCTCCGCACCACACAGCAACCCTGTGCAATGGGAACTACTGTTATCCCTATATCTACGGATGAGAAGCAGAGACGCTAGATCACACTTGGTTATTTTTAAAATTGCAACAAGGAGGATGATCCATCCAAAAGGGCAGGACAACACATTTGTGGTTCATGGCCTGCTGAGGTCACCTGTGACTATCTGCCATCCTGTAGTTGGTGGGTTCCTAGGCACTGACCTTTCTACCATTTTTTGCGGGGGGGGGGGCTGCTACTGGGGAACCTCCTGAGTTGCTGGGATTACAGGTGTGTGCCTCTACACCTGGCTCGTATTTCACATCTTGGGAGAGTAGAGTGGGTAGTTCTCATGGAACAGATGGGAAAAAGGTCCAGAGAAAGTAAACCTTCCCAGGGACATTTGTCCCTGAGGACCATGTTAAGGATCTATCTTCCGGCCACCAGGGTATCAGCTCTGCAATGTACAACTATTTCTGTTCGGGGAGTTGGGATGGGGCCTTATGCACCCAAAGCAAACACAGGAATTTGAGGACTTGGAAGTTTGGAGCCACCAACAATGTTTGAGCCCTTTATTTTATTCATTTATTTTGGTACTGGGGATTGAACCCAGAGGTCTTTAGCCACTAAGCCACATCCCAGTCCTGTGTTATATTTTATTTAGAGACAGGGTCTTGCTGAGTTGCTTAAGGCCTCACTAAGTTGCTGAGGCTGGCTTTAAACTCAAAATCCTCCTGCCTCAGCCTCCTAAGCCACTGGGATTACAGGTGCCTGAGCCCTTTTAAAACATTTTCTTTCTTTTTTAATGCTCAAGCCAAAATAAAGTATCCAAATTTACACGAATATATAATATGATAGAGAAGTACGGTGACTGTGAAGTCACCCGAGTGTATACCCTGCAAAGCTATATACGAGTTGTGAGGAGGCTCTGAAGCCCCAGCTGCAAGTACAGGTGTTAAATGTAGCGTGGAGGCCCCAGGTGCCAGGGCACAACTCTAGCCTCACATTCTTCCCTATTCCATGTTTTCTTTATGATGACATTTATTTGGATTTCCAGATGCATAAAAAAATGATAAAGAGAATGTGCACTCTAGCTACAGACTGGGAGGTTGTTTTGGTCAGAGAGACACCTGGTGGCTCTAGAGATAAACCACACTGTCCTGCCATAGGACATCTCTCTTGCCCTACAGGAGGGCATTCACATTCACCTTTGGGAGCAGGCAGGCTCTTCCTGCAGGGTGCACAATGGATGTTGGGTTTTGGGTTTTAGGGCCAGAGCCAAGTGGGGTTGTCTTCTGAACAGCCAGCTCAGTGACCCTGAGGTTGGAAATAGGAAGTGACAGAAATAGCTTTTAAGACCATCATGAGAACTGGAGGCACAAAATGAGATGGAAACTGTCACACAGTCAGCACACAGTAGCCTGGAGGTATCTGTTCATTGCCTGACCTACCAGGGACCTTGATCAGCTAACAGCAGGTCCATCCTGGGACCCTTGCAAAATCTCTGTGCTCACATGGCGGGAATTTGGTTAAGAGGCGGGAAGGCTTTGCTTCGGGTGTCCTGATTTGGTCCACCCACAAAGGACAAAGGGTCCCCACCCTGCACAAAATCACTTCTATGAGCTTCTCCCTTCTGAGGCCAAGGTGGGTTATTATGGTGACTTTTCTAGCCTCTATGTTTATTCAACATGTTTACATTTTCATCATAAGCATTTATATGCTTTTTGTTTGCACGTGTGTGTGTGTCTGTGTGTGTGTGTGTGTATGTGTGTTGTTTTTGTGGTGCTTGGACTGTAACCCAGGGCCCCAGCTCATGCTAGGAAAGCTCTCTATCATTGAGCCATACAGTCCCAATCTGTTCCATTTATATTAAGATATAATAGCCATTTACATTTCAGAGAAAAAAAAATGTTAAATTTCCCATCAATTCTTGTTTTCATTTTAGCCCTTGGATGGTTTTACATTTGTTTATCCATTTTTTTTTTTTTTTTTTGAGTAGAATAAAGGAGACTCTGGGATTTCCTGGCATTACTTAACAGTTCCACATTCTCTTCTGTAATTTCAGCTGTTGTCATTGTCTTCACACAAAGGAAAGGGCAGACAAGGAGACATCTCCCTTGGAATGAGCACAGACCATGGCTTAGGCCCTGCCCAAGGCCTGTGTGAAAATGTAGAAAGCAGAGCGGCTTCTTCCCCGCCAACCCCACAATTCCTTCCAATGCAAATCAGCTCTCCCACCAGCCAGGTAAGCTGAAAAGGGAAACAGAACTGGGCTGGCTGCTTACCGCATTTCTTCACATATGAGCTCCAAAGAAAGGTGCAACCAACTAAGAGAAGGCTGTACCCCAAAGTTTTCTAACTCAAGAATTTTATGGACTCTTTTAGGGAATTTGTCAAATGAAATGGGCATGTGTGGTACTGGGAATGGACCCGGGGCCATTCACATGCCAAGCAGGTGCTCTACCACTGAGCCAGGTCCCCAGTAGCCTGACATGAATTTTTTAAAGCCATAAAAACCTCTCTGTAATTTAAGTAATCTTTTTCTAATGAGACTATATGTTTGATTGATTTTCTTAAAATGAAGGTCTCCTTTATTAATCTTAATTCCTAAGCAAATGAGTAATTTGGGGATCTATTTTCTGACATGCCAATTTCCAGATGCCATTGAAAAGAAACAACTGGAATTATAATTCATTAAAATGGTAATCCCACCACAATTTTTCACTAAGACTGAAGATTTACCAGGAATGGACAGATGCTGTGATTTATCCTGGCGCCCAAGGGATTTTATCAGGGAAGTTTGCTCACGTTTTAGAAAGGGTCTGTCTGCTAAAGAAGCCCTTCCCAAGATGGGATCAACGTCCCCTTTCCACAGCGGGACACACATACTATGTGAAACTTCCATACCTGCCATCCAGCACATATGGCATGAAGTTGGTGTCCCAGAGGGCACTTGGTGTACCAGTACACGGGACCACAAGCTAATCACCTCAAGGACTCAACAGAGGAATATTGGCCTAGGGAGGGGGACACTGAGGAGCTGCTTAGAGTTGTGTTTAAGGATTATGTCATTGTCACATCACTGGGACCTATGGTTAGGGTGAAGTTCTAAAACAAACTAATCATGTTGATGGTGATTTCACAATGTCCACTTCCCTTCTAAGGAAAGTGACCACATGTCCTAGTTTAGGACAGTTGTCCTGCATAATTATTAATAGTTACCCTTATACTTTTAAGAGTCCTGGTTTGCATGACATATTATCAGCTCCCTATAGGCCTAACTCCCTTTGGGCAACCTGCCATCCCCAGATGACCACAGAGCTTTCTCAGCAGACCCCCTGGTCCAGATTTTTCTAAACACTCCCCACCCTACTCCTTCAGGACCAAGGGACCTAAATGAACCCCTCCTGAGTACAGTGTGCTTTGGAATGGCCTTTTGCTGGCAACGGTCCTAAAGCAGCGAAGTCCACATGAAGGAACAACCAGAGCTGCATCACCCCCTGAGGCTGCGACTCTAGCAGGGGCCACCTCTTGGAGCTCTCCCCACACATCACTGAGGCCAATGGCCTTCAGCCAGAAGGAGAGGGCTCAGACTAGAGCAGGGGAGGGCAGATCAACAGGGCATTGGCCACCCTCATGTCCCCAACTATTAAAATCCTTCCTTCTCTATCATGAGGTAGCAGGCCAAGTCGGCGCCTGGCTGATGTTCTCACCCCAGCCCGATCACCCCAGCCCAACCGGTTTCCCACGCACACAGCCAGCCACAGGAAGAGTTTTGGATGAACAAAATGAAACTTTATTCCCATATGGCATGCAAAGTTTTTGAAGTAGGCACTGTTACCTGACCAAAAAAGTTCCTGACACTTTGAACATCTAAAAGGTTATTTTCTGTACAATTATATAAATATTTTCATGTCTAAATATGAACAATGCTTACAGTCCTAGCAGTTTTAAAATTCAATACAATTAGATTCTTTAGAAAATGATTAGCCTAGTTTCAAAATAAGAAATATCCCCCAAGCAAGAATAAAAGGAGGATAAGATGGGGAGGGATCATGGAAGGGGTTAGCAGAGAAGGGGAGAAAGACTGCAAACAGTGAGAGCACAACAAAACCCAAACGTGGATTTTAGGAGATAAAATCCAACAAGACTACATTATATGCAAAAATTGAAAATAACCATCCAAAGTGAAGGTGGGATGACCTTGTGACCAACTGCATTCGAAGTTGATATAAATAATACATAACCTGGCAGATTTGCTTTTCCAGGAGCAAGGACCTTTTTCTACTTTGCTCTTATCAAATAAACTGACATTTAAGGTGGCAGGAGAATTAGAGAAGCCTTCAAAGTCAAAGACATTGTGTATATATTGGCTGTGTGAGCCTCAGCAAAATATTTAGCCTCTCTGAACCTGTTTCTTTGCCTGCAAAATGTGAAAAAATAACTAACTTGCTACTTTGTTGTTGAGGGGGTTAGAGATAACCTACAAAATGTACCAGCACTGCTCCTAGTAAATAAGTGATACTCAATAAATAACAGATTATTTTGTATGAGACCAGGCTTTCACCTTGGATAGTCTAATTCTGCCAGGCTGCTCCCAGGTGTCCTGTCAATCACCACTGACTTCAGAGCCTACACCTGGGCTCATCCCTGCCCCTCTGATGTCACACTATCACAAAGTACCACTGACAGGTAAAAGCAGACTTTCTCCTGGGGAGCTAAGGCTATCCTCCCTCTAGCGCCCACTCTGTGTGCAGAAGACTCCTGGAAAACTGCGCTCTCCTTTCATCGGGGGACAGGTGCCTCATAACACAGGGACACTAGTGACCTGAATGCTCTACTAGACCCTGTGAAGTGACAGGGAGGTTCCTGCACACATATGCCTCCCACAGGGCCTCTGTTTCAAGCACCAGAACCTGAGGCAGGGACATCAGGACACCCTGGGTCATCAGCACCTGGGCCCCACAGGAAGCTGAACTGGACTCCAGGTCAGTAGCACCATGCACAACTCTGCAGAAGCGACTCTTAGCAAGAAGCGGCTCTCCTGAGCATGATGAGGGATATAGCCAGCTCCTGGGCTGGGGTGTGGACTAGCAGATTGGCTGGATGTGGGCATCAGTCCTGCCTCAGATGATGGACAGGCACAACCCCAGTGTCAAGGATGCTAAGCACACATGAGGGCAGAAAAGGGAGAGATGGTGCTAGCAGGAAACAGTAGGCACATTGGAGGTAAACCATGGGCTCAGACGCATGGGCACCTGGACATCATCAAGAGGCCAGCTGCAAGTTTTATTGGCATTCCCTGGAGAGGTCCAGCTAGCTTTCTGGTCCTGATGATTTTGTTCCTCATTTCACAAGCAGGCACCCCGAATACTCCCAGCAGAGGCATGCGAGGAACACTGACTTCTCTCCTCTCTGGAGTCCCAGCAAGGTTCCCACAATGCCAGCATGGTGAGTCCAAGCTGCTTTGCCTGTGCCAGGAGGACCAGGCAGGGAGTCCAATCCAGGCTGCACCTGGGCCAGGCCGCGGGCTGCAGGGAGGGCTGATGGGAACATCCAGGAAATGGGAGTCCTCAAGGTGTGGGTGAGTTTTGCTTCAAGCTGCTGCAGCCTGCTGGGACTGTACCTGCTCCAGTGAACTGCAGAGAGTAGATGTGAATCTCCTTGGGGGGAACTGGGCCCTGGCCAGCCCTGGATCTGCCCACCTGGAGCCTTCAGATGTACTGTTCCTCATCCCTGTCATTCAGGAGCAGAGACCACTTGTCCCCACCATTGTCCATTGCGGTGCTGTGCCGAGACAGCCTGTCGGACGTCAGAGAGGACAGAGACACCTGGCTGACATAGCTGACCTGGTCCCACGGTGTGGCCCTGGGGGAGTCCCGTCTCCGGTCGTCCATGCCGACATGCACGCTGACCTGGGACGCGCTCAGAGGCTTCATGCGGCCATGGGCCTGAGCCTCGTACCTCTCCAGGTCAGGTTTCCTGTAGCTGGAAAGTAAGAATCCAAGAGCATATGCACCACTCTGCACATAAGTTCTGCTTTTCTCTTTGAAGCCTGGTGAAGGCTCTCATTCAAGTCTTTCAATTACACATGGTATCAAAACCTCATGGGTTTTAAAAGAAAAAGGACACTGAAGGCCTATGTTCAAAAAAAGTTCAATTGATTTAGAAACTTCCTATGCAAATACCAACAGGTAGACTGCTAATAACTTCAGTTAAGTAAATGCATGAATAAATAAATAAACTCCTTTTTAACAAGGATGAATAACACCACCAGGGATTTCATGCCTGCGTGAGACCCACAGAAACAGCCTGTGAGGAGAAGAGTACGTGACAACTGGGGAGAGGTAAATGACTTGCTCATGGTGCTGACAAATCACTACCCAATCCTGCTCAGGCTGCCCACTGTCACCCAGGAAGCATGCCAGCACCCCAACCTGCTGTGAGCGCACAGGGGTAAGGGCCTCCTAAGACTCTCCAGCAAGTGCTCCTGGCCCAGGACTCACCACTTGAGCTGCAGAGAAGAGAGCACCACAGACACTGAGGAGGCCGCCATGGCCGCCGAGCCCATCCAGGGTTGCAGCACAATGCCAACGGGCATGAAGACGCCTGCCGAGGAAAAGGCAGCACTCACTCTGCAGCCAGGGGGAGGCAGGACCCCACCCTCGGCCGCCCTGTGCAGCACCATCCTTGGGGTGCTCCGAAGACCCTGTGCCCACCGGCCTCTGAGGTGGGCAGTAGAACACTGGGCAGTAGGATGTGAGAGGACCTGGTCTCTTCCTCCTGCCCTTTCTAGAGCCATGCAGAAGTGACATCACCTGATATGGGGAGTGGGAACCGCAGCAATGGGGAGGAGCAGGCTGTTATTCGACTATAGGTCTTAATAGATGGTTCAGAAAACATGGTCACTGTAAATAGCCAGCCGAGCATCTTGACCAGCTCTTTACAGAAGACCAGAAAAGGAGCTTTGGGGTCCTCTGGGCAGTTTTTCTCACTTGTCTTTTGAGACACTAAGGCAGTAGCCAATACCAACTTTTCTACATGCATCCAGCCAGCCAGCCAGCAAGGGGGGCAACTCACTGAGCTCTGCAGAAGCCCGGCAGAGGACCCTTCTGGCTGCTGGAGGGGCTGAAGTTGACAGGGAAGGTGAACACCGTGCCTACCTACCTGCTGCGATGGGTATCCCAACCATGTTGTAAATCAACGCCAGCACCAGATTGACCCGGATCCGCCGGACAGTCCTCTTGGAGAGGTGAATGCTGGCCACCACATCCAGCAAGTCATTCTGTAAGGGAGGACGGTGCTGAGTACGGGGCCCTCCCTCCACCTCACCACCCCAGCAACCTGGACGCAGCCAAGCTTACTCTGATGAGGACGACATCAGCTGCCTCGATAGCCACATCCGTGCCACTCCCAATGGCTATGCCCACGTCGGCCTGAGCCAAGGCAGGGGAGTCATTCACCCCATCTCCCACCATGGCAACTTTCTTCCCTTCGTTCTGCAGCTCCTGGACCTTGGCCACCTTGTGAGAAGGTAGCACTTCTGCAAAAACTTTGTTGATACCAACCTAAAGGAAAGGAAATGGATACCCAATGCTAACAAAGCCTCTAGTCACCCTGGTCCCCTCCCCTCAGCCCCCAGGTCCAGTCATTCATGCCAATCAAACAACTTTTGAAGACTCAAGGTCACAGGACAAATAGACCCTCTGCTCCTATCCCTGGTTCAGGCCCCTACTGGTCTGCCCGTCATGGGCTTGGCTGTCTGCACACTTTCCAAACTATTTATCAGAGCAGCAAACATTGGTCATGTTCCTCTCTTGCTTCAGTCCCATTGATCCTACCCACTTCCTTGGATGCGGTCTAACCTCTCAGGAATCTGCCTTCCACAGTCCTCCTGGGTCTGGCCTCTACCTGCTGATCTGTAGCCAACACCACCCTCAAGAATGCACCATTCAGCTACTGTTCAGCTACAGATCACGGCGACACTCTGCGTCCCTTTGGGCAGGCTACCTGCTCTGTCCTGAGAAGTTCAGTTTTCCTCTCAACACCACCCACTGCAGTTCTTCATCTGACAGAAGCAACCCCTCCTCTGGGGAGCCACCCCCAGTCCGTCAGGACGGGGATAAGTTGCTCCTTGGTGACTCTCTCATGGGGTCCCTGCCCACTTCTACTGGATCCTTGAGCACTCAGCCGCAGTGTCAGGGTCCATCTTCCCTGTAGGACCATGAGCCTTTCGTTTCTCTTTGTAGCCCCAGTGCCTGGCACGGTGCCTGTCCATCACCCTCATGGTGCTTCCTAAGTAAGTGTTTTTAACCAGGAAAAGGGGGCAGATACTCATCAAGTCCACCGTTAGTAAGGAAGGCCACGCACCATCAGAAACAAGTCAGGAGAGGGGGGGAGAGTGGGGGTACAATTTCCAGGCATTCACCCTAGAGTCAGGCTGTGTAGGGATCAGTCTTCCAACAGTTGTTGCCCTCATGGCCCCAATGCAGAATCAAGGGCCCCTGGAGCACTGCCCAGGACTAAGTCATTCATCTGGGAACACACTCATGAGCTGAGCCAACAGAACATGCCCCAAACATAAAGGTTAGAGCATTTCTTTTGTACCCCCTGAGATCATGACTATTTGGGAAATGGTTAGAGAACATTGGGATCACTTCTCCAGGGATGCACAGAGCAGGAAAGAGCAGAAGCAAAACTGAGAACGTAGGTACTGGTGCTTACTTTTTCCCCTGCTTCTGTGAACTTAACACAGTTTACAGTTTTAAAGGGAAAGATGTCTCTGGCCTCCAGCCGTACCTGGGTGGCAATGGCTCTGGCTGTCTTCCGGTTGTCCCCTGTGATCAGAACCACATCTATACCCATGCTTTTCAGTGTGTGCACAGCCAGGGCAGCCTCTGGCTTGACAGCATCAGCGATGGCGATCATCCCACAGAGCACACCTGGAGCAGACCACCGTGATCAGCCACAGGGGGGGCTTGATGGCCCTCACGCAAGCAGGACATCAGGACGGGCTATGGGTCTCATCATATAATACTATACACAATAAACAAAACTCCAGACTGTGTACATAATATGAATTGGCTTCTGTTTTCTTTTTGTTTTAAATCATGTACAATTAAAGTCCGGAAGGGATATCAAGATGTTCATGATGGCTCCCTGAGGGGCAGGACTATCAGTAATTTCATTTGTTTCTTTACAGCTCTCTGAATTTTCCAGATTTTCCACAAGGTACATGAATTATTGCTTTACAAAGTACCTGTCCTATTATAAGAACTCAAAACATGTTTGCAATTAAAATAAAAGAAATATAGCAAATGTCACAATTGTTCCTTAAAGTGATAGACATCCAAACTAGTAGATCAGTCCTTCCTTTTTGTTTTTTCCTACAGAAATCATTTCTCAGAATTTTTTTTTTTTTTTTTTTTTTGGTTGGGAGGGTGAATCTTTAGACACAGAAGAAGCAGGAGAGTTCTGGGCTGAGAAGAGAATGGGTACAGAGTGAGAATGGGAACAGAGTGTATGGCAGAGCTGGCTCCTTACTTGTGTCCATTCTGGCTTGAGGAGCTGAGGGGACTGAGGGTTTATGAGGGAGAAAGAGGATGAGAGAGAAAGACATATTTGGCTGGAGTTTTCAGAATGTAGTATCCTAAGTTATTTATTTGCATGCAGTTTTACTATTATTCTCAGAAAATAAACGAACAAAGTGTAGGTTCTGATCTCCTCAAAGCATGTGGCCCAGGGTATAATCTGAGTGCTATGGCACACGGAGCCACCAGAAGCTCTGTGCACATCAACAGGTGTGGAGAGCTGTAGTGCACGGAGCATTTAAAGCATCTGCAGGATGCAGACCTTTGGGGCAGTGGATTTCTGTGCTGTCCGCAATGATGGGACAGAGGGGTGACTCTGCACTGCCAACTTGGACAGAAGCAAAGATGATGGCGAATAGTTTAAAATTCATGAGCAAGAAGGAAGATGCAAGAGGAGAGCTGGCTCCAAGTCAAGGTGGAGAAGGTGAGAGAGAAAGGGCTACAGGACTAGAAAGGAAGAAGGCAAGACAACGTTCTGGAAAACCCAACTGAAAACAGGGGGGAAATACTTATTTAAAAGAAAGAAAGAAAAAGAAAACAGGGAAGAGAGAGGAAAACAAGAAAAAAAAGAAAGAGAAAGATAAGAAGAGAAAGGGAAAGAGGGAGACAAAAGAAACAAAAAAGAAAAAAGAAAGGAAGGTTGGAAGCGGGAGGCCTCGGTTTGCCTGGACTGCATTCTCGAGGGAGTGGAAGGAAGGCTCTGGGAAAGCGATACCGTCAATGGCCACCAGGATGGCGGTCTGTCCCTTCATTTCATGATCTGTCATAGCATCACTAACGTCGCTGGAGATGGTTAAGCCATTGCGCCTCATCCATTCGCGGTTTCCGATCAGCACCGAGAAGGTCTGGGGAGCTGCATCTGTGCAAGAGAGACTGGTTATTCCTTCAGTCTAGCTTCACCATGAGCTAGAACAGCAGAACAGCTGTTGAACCATCCTAAAAACCAACTTGGTAGGTGTCCCACCATCTGTAAAGGACCAGAGGAAGAGTACACCTAGTGTGTAGGCCATGGGGGATGCATTACCACGGCGCATTGGCAGAAGGAGCTATATGTGTGGAAACGCTGTGAAGGTGAACCTCATGGAATGTCCTCAGCTGCCTTTAGAGGCATCTGTTGATTATTTTTCTGCAGAGATGAGAGGCAATTGGGTATTTTCCAGAACAAGGCACGTGCTGACCACATTCATTACTGTTTGGTTTGGATGATCCACAGGGAATCAACAAATCATCAGCTAAGTGTTTCCATGATTGTTTAAAAACTATGCCACAGCCAAGCAGTTCTTTCACTGTCACATCTAACAGTGTGTGCTAAGTAAGGTGCCATTGCTCTGCCCCTCTCTTGATGCTTTAATGAAAAGGTCACCCCAGGGCTTATGTTGCTAGAAGGTGGCAGGTGGCTTCTAACATCTAACCAAGATTACACTGTCAACACATGTAGGAAAAAGAAAAAGACATGGATTTTGGGGGTTTGGGTGTTATCTATACTCTTAAGGTGCCAGTTGGCAAGTTGTCCTGAGACAGGGACAGCCAGCAGCCACTCTAAGCAGCATCCATTCTTGGCTTGGGCAGATCATTTCTATCACTTCCCTGACTTTCAATCAGCTCTGTAAATACTACATAACCCATCACAGTTCACCTATATGGGAAGGAAACAGGAAGAACAAAAGTAGGTCTCATCTGAGAAGCAAGATCCATCTGGACTAAGAAAGAGGAGACTCAAAATACTAGATCAGCAAAGCAATCCTCTATGAATCTAAGTCAATACTATTTTAGCCTACCACATGCATCAAAATTTAGATGCAACAAAGCATGCAAGAGAGAGATTGCAGGGCTTGGTTTGTGGCTCACTAGTAGAGCACTTGCCTTGCATGTGGGAGGTACTGGGTTCGATTCTCAGCACCACATAAAAATAGAATAAATAAAATAAAGGTCCATCAACAACTAAAAAAAAATATTGAGAGACAGAGAGAGAGAGAGAGAGAGAGAGAGAGAGAGATATTGGTTGCAGGCCTTCAGGTATGGGGTACCCAGCTATAAGCCACCTGTCTCCATGGCAGGGAAATCCTGGCAGGCAGGCTGGTCACAGGGATCCCTGTGGTTTGACCCACCTCCACTTTGACCTAGTAGGACCAGCTATGGACAGATCCAGCAGAAGAGACAAAGGCCAGGATACCTTTTCCCATAGGAATGCTGCCAACCTCCTTTGGGTGTCCGGCCCATTGGCTCTGGGGGTGCTCACTGTGGGCCAGGATGCCCTCCACATTGCTGACTTTGCAGCCGATTCCACAGCCTGGCACCGCCTGGAAGTCCATGCAGTATCCCAAGGACTCTGTTCCAAGTTCCTGTGAAGGTAGTGTGGGAGTGGGGAACCAGAACACAGGGAGGGCAGGACAGAGGCGAGGGAGAAGGCAGAGTAAGGTAGGAGGGATGGGAAGTAGAATTGAAAGCAAAGGTCAGGAAACTGACTCTTAGCTCAGCAATCACTTTTCTCTCATCTGACAGCTTAACACAGTTACTGAACTGAACCACGTTAAACAGCCTAACCCCTGCCTGGGCAGATGCCTCACCACGGTGCATAGTCTGCAGACCAGAAGAAGGGAAGGCAACTAGCATCGACACCTACAAGTAAAGAAAAGTTCTTGTATGTTGCAAATAACTTAATGAGAACAATGCAGTAAGTAAGAGTGGGGAGCAAAGCTATTGTGAGGCTATCGAGAGAGAAGCTCCCATGGATGGACCCTGGAGAGGAGATCGTGAGCTGGCAGGGGAGGAATGAGCAGACCAGTAGGTGAAGGACAGCTGAGGGCAACGTCCTCCCCCGGCCGCAGAGGGTGGAGGCAAATGGCGGTGTGCTGACCCCTACAAAAGACAGAGCATAACAGAAGCTTCCAGAAGATGTTCTGTCCAGGAAGAGCGGGCAGCCTTTTCTGAAGCCATCTGTACCACATGTCTATGTTTCTGATAACAGTATTGGCTCAGGCCATTTAAAAACTGTCAACACAACATTTGGCACATTCTACTGCTTCCGTGTTCAACTGAAAACAGAAAACAAAACAGGACTTTCCCTGAGGAGAGGAGGAGTGCAATGCCTCTCTGTGAAGTGTGTCAAGAATCCTCAGGGCTGTGGCTCCCCTCTGCTGGCCCCTCTGCTCCTGCCCTCCCTGCAACATCCTACTGTGCTGCATGTCCCCTCACCAAGCCTCATGGAGGCCAGCGTTCTAGGCAGCGTTCTAGGCCAGCCTACCATCCTCTCCCACCCCAGATTCGGGCTCTCGGTGGGCAGAGGGCACTTCCTCATGGGTTTTGTTCTGAGCTCAGTGCCAAATAGATGCTCAGCTGACCACTGTGACGTGGAACTGCTTCTGTGGTGATCTGAGGCTGTGAGGGGCTGACCGTGAGCCCACCTACCCCAGGCAAAGGCCTCTTCCAGGGCAGCAGGGAGGGCGGCTTGTGGTTAAGGAGGAGGATGGGACCTGGAGGAGGGCTGCAGCCAGGCTGGGCTCTACATACCTCTTTACAGTATTTGGTGACTGCCACACCCAAGGGGTGCTCGCTGCTGGCCTCTGCAGTGCCCACCACAGCCAGAACCTTCCTAAGGGGAAGTGTAGCCACGTCTGTGAGCAGCAGAAACCGCATGACTCTGGGGACCCCATAGGTAATGGTACCAGTTTTGTCAAACATCACGGTCTTGATCTGCCAAAAAAAAAAAAAAAAACCAAAACACATCTCAGTGACGCAAGGTGGATAGGAGGGGCTTTTACAGTCCATACTGTCTCCAGACAGAGCTTTAGCCACTTTCCCTAGGCAGGTAACTTCTTAACCTGACGGTCTGTGGGCAACCCCTGAGCTCAACAACTGCAAACAAACTGATTTCCACCTGCCCGGTCAGAACATCCCCACTGTGGCTGAGCCTTGACCAGATAAAGCTGGACACTCCCTGGCCATGCAAGAGATGGTATGGCACAGTCTCCAGAACTTTTTCTTGTGTCACCTCAGGAGTCTAGCCTCAGAGAGTCCTCTGTCCCCTATTATCCGTCCAGCCCAGCCACTGTTTTCTTCTGCCACCAAAGTGCAAGAGCCTACATAGAATAAAGTCCTCAGGCTCTGAGTTCCAGACAGGAAGAGATAGATATGTGGCTAAAATAACTGGTAACTATAGAGCCAGCCATAAACCCATCTCATGAGGTCAATGGTAGCTTTGTCCCAGTCCCCATGTGTCCGGGTTTAGTCTGCAACAGTCACTCTGGGGCACCCTTCCATGGCAAGAGCCTGAGCCCTCATTTCTCAGAGATCAGACACTGGACTGATGCTTCCCCACACCCTATTCAAGGTAGCATGTTGCTCTGCTCAGACAGTGCCCCAAGACACAGCCTTCCCTGGCCAGCAGGCAACACTCTGCATTTGAATTCCACTGCTGAGCGACAGCTCTTCCTTCAACACTAGCAGCTGATCTCCAAAGATCCCTGCCTCTCAGTCCGTCCAGTGCTCTTCAGGCAGAACATCCTTTCCAACGTGTAACCTAGTTGCCCACAGAGGTGCGTCCTACCCCTAAAGTTCAGAATTCAAATCTTCCAGACCTCTCTGATCTAGTCTCTCCCTTGACAGCCTCATCCATACACACACATTCATATTCTTTCTTTCTCTGACTTTCTTTTAGCTGATCACTTATTTATTCAGCAATTAACCTCTGAAGGCTTTCAATATGCCAGGTTCCAGGCTAGACGCCGGGGATACAATGGTGAGGAAAAGTTCAGTCCCTGATCTTAAGGAGCCGGGCTTCCCCAGGACCTTTCCACCAGCTGTGCTCACTGCTGGAACATTCTCCCCGCCCTCTGTTGACTCTTGCTCAACTATCAGGTCTCAGATGTACCTTTGCCAGCCACCTTCACCATGCCTTATCCCTGAGTGTCCCCAAGGCACTGGCAGTTGCGTGATACTCAGCATTTGTTATCTGCTTATTTGGCATCTGTCTTCCCCACTACACTGCAAGCTCCTGGAAGCTGGGAACCATGACCATCCCCAGAACCCAGCATAGGCCCCTACACTGTAAAAATGCTCAGCAAACACCAGATAAATAAATGAAAGCGTGAAAGGTCAGGGCCTGGCATGTGGGACACAAGAAGACTCTTTGTTCACACTGTTGCTCACTGTTCCAACCCCATGTCACAGGTCTCTTCCACTAATCCCATGATATGAGCCAGTAATTTTCTTCTGTAGCATGATGATTTGCATATAATCCTGGCTCTGTCACTTGATAGCTGCAGAGACAAGTTGCCTAACCTCCTCCTGCTGCAGTTTTCTCATCTGTAAAATGGGAATAAGTACCTACCACCAAGAGCTGCTGAGGACATGAAATCAATGAAACTCAGGACATGAAAGCATTTGATCTTGTCAGCTGCCGCTGTCTCAATGCTGTTGCACCTGCCAGTGTGGCTTCCTACCCTATTTAATTGGCATTGTGGCCCTCAGGTTGCTCTCAGTTTTTTCTCTTATATAAAATAGTAAACAGACACCATTTTCATTAGGATTTAAAAAAAAAAAAAAAGCCAGAGGGGAGAGGCTGGCGAGGACCTACCTTGTGCGCCATCTCCAGAGGCTTGCCTCCCTTGATGAGGATGCCGTGCTGTGCGGCCACCCCGGTGCCCACCATGACCGCCGTGGGCGTGGCCAGTCCCAGGGAGCAGGGGCAGGCAATGCACAGCACGGTGATGGACGTCTGGAAGGCAAACCGGATGATCACCTCCGTCTGGGAGATGTGCTTGTTGGGGTTCTGAAGAGGAAAGAGACAGTAGCTGAGAGCCAGCGAGGAATCTCCTGGGATTCTCGTCACATACGAGTGTCTCAGTGGGGTGGCGGAGCTGGTTTAGGAAACAAACACATTCTGTGCTGCTCAGTGAGAGTTCTCACTGCTCCACATCCCAGCTCCTGACTCGATTCCAGAGGCTTCCTTGGAGAGGCAGTACAGCAGCAGAGAGTCACAGAAGATTCCATGATGGGGACAGAGTGCAGACTTGGGATACAGACCACATAGCTCACCTGGGGATGGCAGGACCTCACATCCCAGGAGTATGAGATGGGACTAGCAGGTTAGGACACATTCAGGTGATGGAGGGCATTGGGGGCTGTGGGGGTGGACCTGGTAATGCTAACTTTGCCTCTCTGCTGCCTCAGTTTCCACTCACATTGGAGAAGATCCTATTCAGCTCACAGGTTGTTTTAAGGACTGAATAAGGCAGTGTACATATAAACACAATGCATACATACACATAATACAATAATGGGCATAGGAGAGGCATGTAAGAAGTTATGACTCTTACATCGTTATAATTTTTATCATTATTATTATGAAAACTTTAAAAATGATTGGTCTCCAAAGAATTGATTCTAAGAGGATAATCATACAAATGGGAAAAGTTACAAGTATATTTATCACTGTGCCTGGTTTTGTTTTTGTAATGGCAAAAAAAAAAAAAAAAAGCCTGGAAACAATGAATAGGAGATTAGCTGATTAGATTGTGGGCATAATGGGGTACCAGGCAATTGTTGGAATGATGATAAATACCTACATCTACTGACATGGAAAGATACCAGTAACAGCAGAATTTTAAAAGCAAGTACAAAAAGATAAGTGCTGCAGTTTTATTCATGGAAAAATTCCTGCCTATAGTGGGCATAGCCTTTTTCGATAATACTGGAAAAATGTTCACCCAAGGGCAAAAAACAGTCACCTAGAGGTATGGAATGTGGAGCCAAATGGGATTTCTTGACTTTAAATGCGATTGGGGATGTCTCATCTAGTGGTTTCTTTGTAAACCCCAAACAAATAAATATGGGTCTATTTTGCAGATGTGTTGATACAAACTGCCATTATCGTTTATACCCTGAGATCTTGAATTATCTTGATTTATTTTTTCAAAATGCCTGGTAGCTATGGAGTATAACAAAGAGATAATACATTCACTTAATTACAGTGAAAAACACATTTTCTACATCAAGGATACAAACCACAATCTCTTTACCTTCCATCTATACTTTATTCTTTGATTTTAAAAGATAGGACTCTAAAATAAGGTAATTATGAGGGGCATTTAATTTTTATAGCAATGGTTGTATTTAGGTAGAGATTCGCACTAAGTTATGATGTGATTTTTAAAGAGAGAAAGATGATGCAATTTCTCTTTCTTTCTTTCTTTCTTTCTTCCTTCCTTTCTTTCTTTCTTTCTGTACTGGGGATTGAATCCAGGGGTGTTTAACCACTGAGCTACATCCCCAGCCCGTTCTATTTTGTATTTTGAGACAGGGTCTAAGTTGCTGGGGGTCTTGCTAGATTTCCCAGTCTGGCCTTGAACTTGCCTCCTGCCTCAGCCTCCCAAGTTGCTGGAATTACTAGCATGCACTAGTATACATGACACATGATGTGATTTTTTTTTTTTTTTGTAAACCCAGTAATTCTTGTCAAAGTAACACTTGGCATTCTGGTGACATGGATAGACTTCTGGGGATTTGCATGATCCCTTCCCTACAGTGATGTTTGTGCGGCAGAGTGATGAGAGAATTTTAAAGGAACATGCAGTACCTCATTTGCCAGCATCCTCCCTGATTTTGCAGATAAAAAAAAAAAAAAAACAACAACAAAAAAGCCAAAGTGAGATAGAAAAGCACGGAACAGCAGAAAGCCACATATTCCAACTTGTTTAAGACTGAGTCTTCCCACGGCCACATGCCAATGAGCTATTTCCCCCCCAGCAAAAGCAGAAGTTTTTGGCAATCAGGTATGTAAGCAGCCACTGCCAAATTCTAGAAATACATCCACAGATTACTCTTAAAATCACTGAGGTCTCCTTAGATGTCAGAAAGTGTTTAACTTGGACTTTTTCAAATTTAAGATAGGGAATTTGAGGGGAAAAATGACATTTTAGTAAATGACATGTACCCTAAGAATATCTGATATACCTTCAACTATGGGCAGAAAGTTTTAAAAAGACAAAAAAATGTATTCCATATTTTTAGCTTCTTACTCTTCATCTCTAAGGTAAAATAAGCTTTGGACTGGTTAGGTATGAGATAAGGTAAAGCATTGTTCCACCTACTGGGCAGTTAGCCAATACTGCTCTATGGGTCACGAGATATATATATATATCTTTGTAGCAGGGGCCTGTCCTCAGTCTTACACAATAGTGAGCAGCATTCTGGGTTTGTGCACAGACGTAAGTAGCATCCACCTCCAAGTGACATCTACCTCATTCACAAAAACAAAAAATGTGTCCAGATACTACCAGATGTCCCTGAAAAATCACTGATATACGTAGTTTAGTTTCTCAAGCAGATAAGGGTTTTGAGGAATGGATAGCATTTTTCACATTGCTTTTTTTAAGTTCAATAAAACAATATTTCCTAAGGCAGCCTTTTTCACCCACATTTTTAAAATTAAAAATGCTTACTCTATTGCCTCACATACAAAGTTAAATAAATATTTGTTGTTAAAAAGCTCTGCTCATGTTGGTATATAAAACCTTTCAATAATACAGGAAAATATCATCGCTTGAAAAAGTGGGAGACTGAAGATGGTATCCATGGATGTAGATGGCAAAAAAATGTATTTTTCTTGAAATCTATTCAATGCTATTATCATGCCATCTAAATTACAAAGTGACCTATCGTAAGACTTAATACCTCAAAACTAAGAATTGAACAATTCTGCATACTGTAATGCTTTAAGCAGCATAACCGAGAGCTATCTGTGAGTGGAAAGCAAACAGCCTCTGAAATAAAAACCTACAGCAGTACAGTGGCTGACTTTTTCCTACCCTGATTTAGATTTTGCTGTCAATAAGTGAAGGAAGCAAATAAGTAAATGATTAAAGCCCAGTGAATCTAAGACATGAAAGATTAGGAATAATGGCAGTGATTGTTTGAAACGCAACAACCCATACTGCCCAAAGCATTCAACTTACAGGAAAGTATTTCTGAACAACACCAAAATCGATAAAACCGATTATAATCCATACCACCAACGTCAAGGTTGAAATGATGATGATAAATGGGACAAAATATCCACTAAATCGGTCAGCCAGTTGCTGAATGGGAGCCTGTGAAAAGAACATGGAGACCATGGGAAACTGCAGCCTAGGAAGGCACAAGACACCATGAGCACGGTAAGGACTAAGACCCCCAGCTCCTCTTGGCCTGTGTTTACTCATGAGTCACCACTCAATTTACTGATTCTATGGGCCTCTCGAGCTAACGTTATGCCATGTTTTAAGTTTCTTCATTACCTTTGACATCTGAGCCTCTTCCACCAATTTTACAATTTGAGCTAAGGTGGTGTCGTTGCCCACATGGGTGGCTTTAATGAGCACAGAGCCATGTGCATTGATAGACCCGGCGATCACAATGCTCCCAGGTTTCTTAGTGACAGGCATGGCTTCTCCTAGAGGTGGGAGAAGAAATAACCATCACTCCCTCAGTCCCATTCCACATCACGTGGCTGGCAAACACTGTGACGCCCGCCCGAGGGAACATGAAACATGCCACCTAACCTGTGATAAGGGACTCGTCAGCCATGGTATTGCCTTCCAGGACCTTCCCATCCACTGGGAATTTTCCCCCGGGGACAACCTTGATGATATCACTCCGCTGCACCAGCTCCATGGGCACTTGCTCCTCTCTGCAACAGATGCCACTCAGGTCACACACAGTCACACACATTCTTGGTCTGTCACCAGGTCAGATGCGAGACCAACCACTGGACCAGTCAGTTTATACAGCTGGCCCTCTGCATCTCAGGGTTCTGTATCCATAGATTCAACCAACTTCTCATCAAAAATATTCAGGGGAAATAAAACTTTGTGAACATGTACAGACTTTTTTCTTGTCATTATTCCCCAAACAATACAGTATAACAATTATTTACGTAGTATTTACGCTCTGAATTAGGATCATGAATAGTCTAGAGAGGACTTAAAGTATAAAAGAGAACACATAATATGCAAATATAACTCCACTGACTTAGGAAGGGGCTTGAACATGGGCAGATTTTGGCATCTGAGGGGATCCTGGAACCAGTTCCCCACAGGGAGCCAGGGATGACTACACTTGCTTCATACTGAGCAGCAGATGGGGCTGCGCTCAAGAGCAGCAGGTGTCGCTGTCACACTGAGCAACACAGATTTCACCTAAGACATGGGGAATCACTAAAAGACTTCCCACCATGGAGCGATACAACCAGACTTGTGCCTTCAGAAAGCTCACTGGTTTGAATGTGGAAAAATATTTTGAAGAAGGCAAAGCTAGAAGCAGGTGGCTAATGAGGGGACTGCTGCAGCACTTTGGGGGAGAGTCCGTGGTTGCCTGGACAAGTGTGCTGGCCATGGCGGGGCCAGGGATTGATAGCCCTGAAGATGGAGGAGCAAGAACCAAGAGGCCAGATGTGCAGATGAAGGAAGGAAAGGGGCCACAGAGGCAGCCAGACTCTGCCCTGGGACTGTGTGGTGGCCCCAGAGAAAAGGAAGCATCTGGAGGGGAGGGAAGGATGGTAGGCTGGGCTTGAGCCCTTGTGAGCTGTGCAGGGGAAAGTTCCACCCAGCAGCTGGGTCCTAGGGTCCACACGGCTGGGGTTTGGGGAGGTGATCTTTCCCAGTGACATCTGTAACGCAGTTAAGATGTCAAGGACAGTGAAGAAGGTCCAGAAAGGAGACCAAGCAGCAACAGGGCAGCAAGGGAAGGTCCAGAGAGTCATACGTGTAAATGCCCCATCACACAGATCTGGGGTAGAGAGGAAGGGCAGGTATAGCTGCCACAGGGATGGAGGGAAGGAGAGGCCCAAGCCTTGTTGAAAGGAGCCAACCAAAAAGAAACTCCAGTAGTCTTCAGGAGGCACCAAGGAACCATTCTTCTAAGCAGGGACCCAGAGGTGGGAGGCCCCTGCAGGAGGCAGAGGGGATGCAATACCTGGCACCCACCATGCGTCACATTACAGCATGGTCAGCTCCTCAGGAGAGGCCTGGACTGTTGCAATCCAAGTGACAGAGGGAGGAGCTATGGCCCTGGGAGACTAGGGTGCAACCATGGGCCTGCAGCAACCTGTGAGGAGGGCAGATGGGCATGGCCTCCCCAGAACTGCGCAATAGCAGTGTTAATGAATGTGACCAGAGCACGTAGCCCATTCTGGGCAAAGTCAGAATGAACTCTGATCTTCTGACTCCCAGCTTAAAAACTGGTACCACCCCAGTGTGATGGCAGTAGTCAGGCCCACAGGATCACCATCTTTAGAAAAGAACTGAGTTATGGCAAGTATAGCCCATGCTCCTTCGGCCTCTCAGCTGGCTCGCACCTCCTGGCAAAGATGTTCAGATCATTGGAGCTGCTACAGTGGGGGCCGGGCCGTCAGCAGCACTTCAGACTGCAAGAAGAGGCTAGAGGCTGGGTGGTGGCAAGGTGAGTCCCAAGAAATGGAGCTGTGGCCGACTTTGTTCACACACGAACACTTTACTCCTCAGAAACTCTCACACCATAAATTTATAAGAGAAAAGAAAGACATCAAAGTGTGTGAGACCGTAGAGCCACCAAGGTGGCCAAGAGTGTGGGAGCCCAGCAGTACCAAATGCTTATCCCACAGAATCCCCTCAACTGGGGGACAGGGTGGCGTGGTAGCCAGTAAGGTAGCTCTGTGCCTCCGGGGGCCTGATCCCAGCTCTGCCATGTGCCTGCCGGTGGACTCTGGGCAACTTACTTCACTTCGCTGAACTTTAGATTCTCCCTTGTGAAAATAGGGATAATGACTGTACCTGCCTGACAGGAGGGTCACGGGGATTAATTTGTGTTAATTAGATAATTAGTGCTGAACAGCATATCTGGTATATAGTATGGAACCAAATCTCAGCTGTTATTATTATAATTATGATGCATAATTAAAAGCCAGCATCCGGGGCTGGGGGCATGGTTGAGTGTAAGCTTAGGGTGTGCAAGGCCTGAGGTTTGATCCCAAGCAACCCCACCCCCCCATTTCCCCAAAAGCCAGTATCCAGAACAAAACTGGCACTGCTGGGCTTCAGTCAGCCTGCACCCCGCGATGTCTCTCTCATCAGCTCTTCCACCCCAAAGGCTCACCAAGGGCTGCTCTGCACCAGCCCAAAAAGCCTGTCAAGCAGCAGAGGCCCTGTCTGAGTCCCCAGTGGTCAGTCATTACAGGCACAGCTATGGCCACTGGCCTTGGCAACAGGAGGATGTGTGGGAAGTGCATAGTGGGGAGAGGGATACAGAGCTTGTCTGTCTTAACAAGGAAGACTCTGGAGTGAGTCAGCCCAGATAGAAAGAATCAGCAAAGATGGAGATACCAGAGACCACAAAGAAAAGTGGCAGGAAGAAGCTCCTAAGCTGAGACTGAAGGAGAGTCCCCTCTCTGTCCACTGAGACGGGGTGCCATGGCGAAGGCCAGTTTGCAGGGTGAAAGGCAGGGAACTGCCAGGCTGTCTGTGGAATGCCTGTGTCTTCAGCAATCAGAAGTGAGATCACAGGCTAAAGGGAAGGGAGGGGCCCCAGCAATGTGAAGAAGGCCTATAACAACCACTGCCCAGAATATATAAAAGAGGCCAACCAAGGAGACAGAAGCCTTAATTTGTGCTGGGCATGGTGGCACACGCCTGTAATCCCAGCAGCTTGGGAAGCTAAGGCAGGAGGAACGTGAGTTCAAAGCTGGCCTCAGCAACTTAGTGAAGCCCAAAGCAACTTAGCAAGACCTTGTCTCCAAATAAAATATAAAAAACGAGCTAGGGATGTGGCTCAGTGGTTAAGCACCCCTGGGTTCAATCCCTGGTACCTAAATAAATAAATACCTTAATTTGTAAACATTTCCATATTATTAAGTGCTCTAAGAATTGAAATGTGGAAATGTTATGAACAGCCTAGATTATATCCTAATCTTTACCACTTAATTCCTATGTAATCCTGGGCCAGCTGTGTAGCCTCTATGAACCTCAGTTTCTCATCTATAAAATAAGAGTAATAACAGTCCCTTCATCATAAGGTTTGCTTTTATTCCTCAAGGGATGGGGCTAGGTTAAATATAAAGAGGTTAGAATAGTGTATAGCAAACAATAAATTTTATAGAAGTTTCCAGCAACGATGACAATAATTATTTTTAACATCAGGCAACCTTACAAGGAAGATAGATACCACTCCCATATCATTCTTTGGCAAGATGAAGCCTTTCTCTCACTGCTTATCTCAATCCTCCAGATCTTGCAAGGAAGACAGAGTTCACATTCCATGTTGTCTGTGAAGTATCCCTGTCAACCTTTAACCTTCCTCTTCTAATTTCTGGAATACAAATAGTCTATGCCTCTCATTTGCCACCGAAGACACAAACACCACCTCCAACTCTTGCTGGTTCTTTACTTCAATGCCTTGTTCACATAATGGGTTGAGAGTGTCCCTACCCACCCTCCAGGGTCTTGTGCAGGGCCACCACACGATGGGTGATGGCTGTGTAATATACAGGTGACATAAACGGATCATGAGCTCTACTGGTGAACCTAACTCACCTGATGATTAAGTTATCCTCGCCCAGGGTCACCACTGTGGCTTCTGTGGCTTGGAGAGACATGAGTTTGGCAAGAGCTTCTGAGGTTTTGCTCTAGGAAATAACCAGAGTGTAAAATGAGAGCTATGTTAACTGCCCAAACCCAGACTGACATTCAAAGCTGGTGCACTAGGCAGTCACAGAAAGGGGCTCCCCTAACGTGGGCATACCATGCATAGGCCAGGGGGGATGGGTGGTGCTCAGGCAGCCACATGTTTTCGCCCCCCTGAGTGCGCAACACTTATGCCACGACTGTAGTTCTAGGAACTCCATTTCAGGTTCAAAACGATATCAGTCTGCCCTGCGGCCATTTTCTTTTCAGTTCCAACTAATTTCTTTCATGAACTGAGTCCCACTTTTTTATGGGGGCCATTACAATGCTAGGTTCAAAGCAAGATGTTAAAAATGACAAGACCTCAGAGTGGAAGTATGGATTTCTAACTAATAAACTGTCTACTCGGGCGCTGAGAGACCACGTGGGCCCTGACCTGAAGTTCAGTGTTCTTTCCATTACACAATACGCCTGAACAAAGGTTTTAATAATTAACCAGATTAGCTGGGATTTCAGAAGTAGCAACCAATTTGAAGATTAGTGACCGCAGCACCTAATTATATGGTGGTTTCAGATTTCAGCCTTTTCCTGTGTGTAATTAGCAATTCTCAACCCTGCATTCAGATGGATACAGATCTGTGTTACTGAAGGACTAATTCTTTCCTTAACTAGAAGCTACATATATCTACCTTTGCCACGTGTTCCAGCCACCGCCCTAGGGCAATGAACACAAAGAGCATGGGGGGCGTGTCGAAGAAGGTCACAGGGCTCTTCTCAGCCTTCTCAGCAATTGCGACCACCAGGATGACGATGGAGTAGGCATAGGCGATGCTCGTGGCCAGTACGATGAGCACGTCCATGTTGGCCGACTTGTGTCGCAGAGATTTGTAGGCCTGGACGTAGAAGTACCACCCACCGAGGAACTGGAAGACAAGGAGAGCAAAGGCTGCTGACAGCCAGCAGAGAGCACCCTGCGCAGCCGGAGCCTGGAGCCCCTCAGGATGGCAAATATGCGAGGTGGTGTGTGCACAAACCTGACATCCCTCATCCTCAGTGACTGACATTTTTGAAATATACTTTTTGATTCAGGCTACAGAAATGGATGATCAAAGTGTGTGAAACCTTTATAAATGTCCATCCACAGGAGAATGGTAAAAATGGTTCATTGATCCTGTGGAGAGAGCTAAGCAATCTCTAGAGAGAAAGTGGTATATCTGCAAACCACTGGCGTAGAAGATGTCCGGGAAACATGGGTAAGTGAAAAGACAGTACACAAGAGAGTATCACATATGATCCCATCTCTGTTATAAGCCTGTGTCTGTGTTATGTGAACATGTACACACACACACACAGACACTCAAATGCGTGTTTTCTCTACACAGATGATATCTGGGAAGGTACATGTCAACTCCTAATGATACTCCTAATGATCCTAAAGGTGAAGTAGTATCTTCCCCTTTGCTTCTGATACCTCAACATGGCCCGAGTTGACAACAATACAATAAGTTTAAGTTACATTTGCTATTAAAAAGAAACTATTAAAAAGTAAATTCAGCCTACAGATGCCTGTAAATAGTCCTAAACATTCCAATATTAACTTAGGAGTTCAGTTTTATACTCCAAAATATATGCGTAGAGAGTACACTTCCCACCAAAAAATGGATCACCACCATAAGTGGATGTTCCATGAAGCCAGCTTCTGTTGAATTACAATTTGCTCATAGATAAGAAACACATCTTTACTTTGCATGATAGAATGTTTAAGAGGGTCATGAGCTCTGGGGGCTTCAGGCTGCTGCTTCTAATGACACAGGTAAATTAAGCTAAAGAGGAAGCAAACCAGGGACACATGGGGTCACCAATCTTGCTATGGAGGAGACTGCTGTTCTAGGGAGGTTTCAATCACCTGCAATCAATGTGAAACTTACAGTGAAACTGAGCCACTCACAGTTCTCCACATCAAAAAGCCCTGCCCCTCCTGGCTAGTCATAAGATGGAAATAAAAGCAGTAAACAACTGGAGGCAGGGCAGGCAAGACTAATAGTACAGCTTTGGGGCTATGTTCTCAGCTTCTGGGCCTATGTTCTCAGCTTCTGGGCCTCAGTTGCTGCACCTATAAACTGGAGGTCATATATCAGTTGTGTGAAGGCAGTGTTAGGCCTAAACATCTCCCAAATCTCCTTGCAGTGATGTTTAGACCTTTAGATTATCCCACAGATGGCTGGGTCAGGGAGAGACTCCCAGGCCCCACCTCCTGCCCAATCCTGTTCCCTGGTGCATCACTAGAAGTTGGGCGTGCACCTTTTTGTATCTTATCTGTGTGGAGAAAACACACACCTATGTGTATGTGTATGTACATGTTCACATAATACAGACACAGACTGTTAATGGGAGTGTGGGATCATATGAGACACACTGAAACCAAGCTAAAGGGTTGTGTAGAGCCTAAGTAGGCAGAGCATCCCTGGGGCACACACACTCATGGGGAGCAGAGGTTTGCTTGGCTTTCTAATACGCACCTGGACAAAGGTACACAAGATGAAGAAGATGAGGTTTAGGATGGACAGCCCTGGAATGATATTGTGGTCCAGGACCATCACTTCTTGGGAGTCCTTGCTGGGGATCAACATGTAGATCATTATACCCATGACCGGGATGCCAAACACCAGGCTGCACAGGAAAGACTTCTTCCACCTGGAAGCCACACAGCAACACAGACACATTAGACAACATTTATCACTTGGATGATGGGCTGGTCCCACCTGAGGACTTGGTTTAAGATGTGCCTTTGTCTCATGGCTGGGACAGAGCACCAAGGTCAATCTAAAGGCCTAAATATTGCTGCAAGGACTTCTGGGAGATGTTTAAGCCCAGTCTTGCCTTCATATAACCAATAAAAGACCGCTAATTTATAGGTGCAGCAACTGAGGCCCAGAAACTGAGAATTTAGCCCCAAAGAGGCTAAGGGCCTCCGTCTATGGCTAGCTATAATTCTTTTTTTAAAATGCAATCTTATATAAATTCCCAAAGAAGGAGGCAGGGGAAAACCCCCAGGCAGAAGCAGTGTATTATATAAGCTCGCTTACACATGCAACTTTTAAACAACTATTTAAAATAAAGTCACTGAGAACAGTAAGGCTGTCTTGAATGCAAAAGTCTGAAATTGGGAGTCACAAATGACAGCTGTGGTTTCTTGTTATCTGTGACATAAGTGAAAATTCCAACCAAGCAGGCTGGAACCTTAATTTAAGGCACTTCTACATCAAGGCACCTTAAGCAGGGCCTGCAAACCACCAGCCTGTGAGACCCAAGTCCTGTGCACTCAGCTGCTGCCCAAGGCCCTGGAGAGTCCAAGTCTGCTTGCTTTCCAGATGCCTCACTGCCCCAGGGATGCCAACAGGACCAAACCACATGCCTCCCTGCTGGCCCCTAGAGGACCCCTTGCCCCACAGACTCCCTTGGCCTAGCACAGCTCCACTCATTCCCTAAGCTTCAGCTCATGGGTCCCCTGCTTAGAGCTTTCCCAGACCTTCCCAGAGTCCACCTAAACCACTGCTGTCAAAGCTCACTCATTCTTTGCCTGCCAGATCAGGAACCCCTCTGAGGCAGGGTCCACAGTCTATTAACCATCCCCAGCACTGGTCACAGTGCCCTGCATACAGCTGTAGCCTTTAAGTTTGATGAAAGAATAAGGGAGTGGCCATCTGAAACAATAAATGACTCTTTTAGGTCTCCTGCTTCTCTGTCCATTTTCTTTCCACTTGGCCATGATGACTGTCCCCAGATCCTAGTTCTAGAACCTCTGCCAACAAAGTCTGAAAATACTGTAAAAGAAAAACCTGGCCCTCAATCCCAATTAAAGCATTATCCAATCTGCTAGGTGGCTATCAAAATTAATTTAAATCAATTTTAAATTAAATTTAAAAAAATTCGTCCCCACAGTCAAACCAGCTGTATTTCAAGTGCTCACTAGCCACATGGGATACTGGCCACTATCAGTGCACACACAGGATGCTGCCACCATCGCGGAAACTTCCACAGACAGCAGTGCTTCAGAGGGCTAACATCACAGGGTAAAGGCAACGGACCCAGGTAGAAGTCACCCAGGGAAGCAAGGACAGCAGGGACATCAACAAGCCACGGAGACATTTGCACAGGATGAGCCACAGTCAGCGGAGAGGGGAAGACACATAACCAAGAGCTACAGTTTAGCTTTCATATTCTACCTACTGCTTTATTTCCATCTTGTGGTCCAAGTGATGAGCGTTGGGCTTTCTCTGGGACAGGGAGGCATGATAGCCGAGTTCCTTGTTATTAAAAAGAGAGGGGCAGGGAACAAGGGGGGAAGGTACTTGTTAAAACATGCATTGGCAGAAAGCACTTTACAGCCCTGGAAATTAGAAAGCAAATCTAAAAAGTGCCTCAGAAGATCAGTGGGTTTTCTTCTCACAACCTCTTTACCCAAATTGGCCAACAGACCCTGTTCAGAGGTTCAGCACCAGCTTACACTGAGCGACCACACCATCTGTAAGGAGATGGTGTCAAACGGTGATCCCTGTCCCTGCTGTCAGCAAAGGAAGCAGGCTCTGGGAAGTTAACCTCGCCAGGCAGCCCCAAATACCTTTGGGGTCTAGCACCCTCACTCCACACACGGGGACAGCGAAGGTCAGAGGGGTTAAGCACTTTGCCCAAAGTCATGGCACTTCTCTGAAAAGCTGGATCCAGAGCTCGGGTCTCCAGGCCTCCGGACCAGGCTCCTCCTCCACAGGGAACTTGGCTCCCCCTCAGCATCTGGAAGCACGGCTTCTGCTGGGCCCCACAGAGGCTGTGCTCAAGCACTTCTGCCACCAATGGACCTGTTTTATCTCTGACCCTCCTTATGAGGACACCCAGGGAAAGCTGTCAAGAAATGTCTTGTGGGGCTGAGGCTGGGGCTCAGCGGTAGCACTCTTGCCCGGCATGTGTGAGGTACTGGGTTCGATACTCAGCACCACATATAAGTAAATAAAAAATAAAGGACTATCAACAACTAAAAAAAATAAAAAAAAAAAAAAGAAATGTCTTGTTAGTCAGCACAATATAGAGTGGGGCCCAGAACTGTGCTGTGACTTGTACACAAATACTAAAACTCTTAGATGTTCTAAGACTTTGTGAGACCAATGTTTTTATTACTAATATCGGTCTAATTATATTGTGAAAAAGTGCTCCAGAGATACAAGCATGGAGACCAGGCAATAATCTAATATTCTACTATTCCTCAAATAAGGTCAGAGAGGGTGATGCTCACAGACTGGGGAGAGGCAGACAAGGGCACTAAAAATCAGACAGAGATGGATTCAAAGGCAACACCTAGGATTCTCCTGCCCAACTACCCCATCAGTCTGACTCCTCAGCATCACCAATGCCACGTTATTACTGTTCCTTAAGATCCGTGGCATAGTAGAAATAGAAAGGCTGCTGAGCTTGGAACTGTGAGATCTGGGTTTGAATGCCATCCACCACCTGTGAGCTGGGTACTAGTGAGCAAAGTCCTTAACTTCTCTGAGGATCCTTCCTCATTTCATGAAGCAGCCATGCAGACGGCCTCCAAGGGTGAGGCATCCTGAACCTCAGCAGCACCAGCAGCAGCACTGCCAGTTCACAAGGCTCTGCTGGCCATATGACAGAAAACACCTCTCTATAAACACACGTAAACAATGAATCAAAGATGAAGGATGAGCTGGGCGTGGTGGCGCACAACTGTAATACCAGGGGCTCAGTGGCTGAGGCGGGAGGATCTCCAGTTCAAAGCCAGCCTCAGCAACAGTGAGGTGCTAAGCAACTTGGTGAGACCATGCCTCCAAATAAAATACAAAATAGAGCTGGGGCTGGGGCTCAGTGGTTGAGTGTTCCTAAATTCAATTCCCAGTAGCCAAAAAAATAAAAACTAAGGATGATATAGCATTAAACATGATATGAGATTATTTCATTTCAAAAGCAATTTCATTAGTAATCGTTCTTGCTAAATTTAATTTATCCTTACCAGCTGTTACAAAGTTAAATTTGTTAATTTTGATTAGCTTAACCCACTCCTATTACCACTGATGCTCAGTCTAGGGTATAACACAGCCCACAAAGAGGAAACAGTTGGTCTGTGGACAAACTGAGGGAGGTAGAACAGGCGTGAGAATTCTGATTTTCCAGAGCAAAAATGAGCAAACTCTTAGGGCAGGTCCAGCAGAGGGAAAAAATGTGGTATAATTCTGTCCAATGCCAACATTCCTTTGGTATAAAGATAATTGGCACAGACATATTTTAAAACTGCAAAAATTACCCATTGGTTCCGGAGGCTGGAGGATCACGAGTTCAACATCAGCAACTCAGTGAGACCATGTCTCTAAATAAAATATAAAAAAGGGCTAGGGATGTGGCTCAGTGGATGAGCGCCTCTGGGTTAAATTCCTGGTACTAAAACAACAACAACAACAACAACAACAAAAAAAAAAAACCTGCAATTAAAATAATTTAACCCTATATACCACATTTATCGTGGCAATACTCACTGTTCCCAGGGACTATCTGAAGCAATAATGTCTTTTCCCCCCTCATCCTCATCTCTTTCTTACCAATTCACTGATATTCTTCCTCAGATTATTTGATAGTTACTTACCTTCCCAGATTAATTTAAAATGATTGACCTTATTTCCACAGAAAAAGCTGATAGATTTTAGTGATTTTCATTCTGCTTATCTATACTTTCTCATTTTTCTTCAATGACTACATATTACTGTTTCTTAAAAAAAAAAATGAATTGAATGAATTACCTCAATAATTTTGACAATATCCCGTGGACCGATAATTTCGGGATCAAACTTCACATGGGCTTTGCTGGTGGCGAGGGCCACTGAGGCATAGGTGATGCCGTTTGTCCTGGTGAGCCTGGACTCTATGTTGTGAACACAGGAAGCGCAGGTCATCCCTGTGACCTGCAAGACAGGAGAAGAAACTTCCACAGGCCCAGGAGCCACTCAGGAAATTCCACCTGGTGACATGCCATCATAGGATGAGGCCCTTGACTGTCACACCTGCCCTGCCAGCCTTCTCATCCACAGCACCTTCTTGAGACTCTGGATGCCCACCTCCAAACCCCTGTAGGAGATGCTCGCCCTTAACCTTCCTCAGTGGCTCCAGGGTATAAGCGCTGCTTCTTCCCCAGCTCAGGCACAGGACACAGCGATCATTAGGCAGATGGCAACTGACGGAAGTTCAACTTCTGGCTCTGACAAGCATGTGCTTTTGAAGCCACCCTATGCTCTACCTCAGATTTCTCACCAACAAGATGGGGACAAGAACCGCCTCTCAAGAGTAAGGTGACATACTTCTGCCAAACCTTCTGGATTCCTGAAAGACTTATGCATGTATCACCAGTGCCTGCCCTGCAGCCTCTGCTATACCCTTCCAGCTCCAGTGCTCTGCTGGTGATAAGGGGTCTGATGGCAACGTCTCATTATCAAGAAGGAAGAGACTTAGGAAGTGACCAGTGGAGGAGATGGAATCTGAAGTGTTCAAAGTATGGACAGGGTTTTGAACAGGTGATGGTAAGGGCAACATTAGGAGGAGTGAAAAAGGCAGGACAGTGCAGTGTTCAGGCATCCACCAACAGCTGACATGGCTGGTGTGGGAATGAGAGGAAGAGGGGGATAGTCTGCAGTACTGGTTGGGTTCACAGCATGAAGGCTCTTGGGCACCCAGCTGGAAGGGTTGCTAAGCCACTACTGGACACAAAGCCATTGGGGAGTCATCAGGATAATGTGACCAGAACTGCACTCTGAAATTCGCATCAGTCATCCCAGAATAAATACCAAAGAGACAAGCGTCCCACCTGGAATTAGGGGAGGAGAGGCAAGCTCATCTGTAATCCAGACACATTCAACTTGGCCTCGAACCCAACAAGACCAGAGAGGGAGGACCATCAGAAAAACTAGAGCTTACCTGCTGGCAAGTGGCTGTGCTAACAGAACCCAGTCTGCAACTATTTCAATGATCCTTCTAAGCTCTCCTTTATATTTGCAATAGTAATAAGTAACATGTACTCTTGTGTAACATTTGTGTACTGTCTCAGGCACTGTACAGCTTTCACCAGCCCTGGGAAGTAGGCGTCAAAGCTGTAGCACCAACAGGTTTAATAAGTTGCCCAGAGGCACACAACTAGTGAGGAGCAGAGATGGAGCTCCTCATCTGGAGCCAGATGGTCTGGCTCCAGGGTCTGCTCCAAGCCACCCTTGTCTGCATAATAAGGTGGTTCTCTAAGTTAATACATGTCCCTGAGGCAACAGGGCCAGAATTCACACCCAAACCTCCTGCATTTCTACCATACCACAAGGTGCATCCTGACATGATAAAAATGGAGTTTGAAGGGAGGCATGCCATTCCTGGAATACGAATGAGGCAAATTAGACAATTTACTCTTCTGATAAGAGTGGTCACTGTTTCCTCAAACACTAATTAAATACAGAAATTCACAGAAAATGTCTGTGATCATGAGATAATAATAGAACTTTTACCACCACACTGTTTTAAAAAAGAACACTGCCAAAAAACCACTGTTTCAAAGAAAGTCTTCACCATTTCCAATAATAATCTTTGTTTAGATTTTCCACATAGTAGTCTGAGTGGGTGAGATGACCACATGTGGAGCTGCCAGTTTGCAGGAGGGACCCTCCCCTGTTACAGGGCTGATGCGGGCATAGCCCAGGAAGTTTACCCCTCAGTGCGCAGGAGGCCTCCCCAGAGCAAGAGATCTGCTCGACAGAACACCACTCATCAGGAGCTCAATGGGGCTCAACGTGCCACTTCTGCATTATACACTTCTTCTTCAAACATTGACTTAACACTAATGGCAGTGACTAAACACAAGTGAATAAAGGGCCCCTTCTGCTTTCAATGACTTGTTGATGTACAGCTATAACCATGAACAAACAGAAACTACTCCTTCCCACCCCAAACACTGAAAGCCACCGCCTTAGGCATTAGCCTTGGACTGAGCATTCTGGGATACTCTGGTCACTAATTACTCCCTAGACACCCAGTACCTACAAGTCCTCTTCATTTTTGTGGGTTTTGATTGGTTGTTTTTGTGGGGCTGGGGATCAAACCTAGAGCCTTCCACTTGCTAGGTAAACACTCTGTCATTGAGCTACACCCCAGCCATCTATCCTCCTTTGAATGGCACTCTGTACCCCAAGGACCCACCTTGTCTACCTAGAGATACCTGCAGGTGGTTGAGGTCTCTTTAGGCTTTAGACCAGGTCCATATTCAACCTCCCCAAACCACCTTACTCAGGACAGCCCACTATTCGTGATTCCTCCTTGTCCCAAACTCTTACACCTTACCACCTCTTCCTCATGACACCCCAGACACCCTCAGTGATGGCCTCCTCTGACTCTTTGACATAGCTGACCTTCCTTCACAAAATGAACAGGCCACTGTTGTTGGTGTCAAAGAAAAACAAAACAAACCCGACACAACAACAAATAGGGTATATCAGAGATAGATAGAGAAACTCATTGGTCAGAAGGAAGGTGCTATCGACTTATCCACAAGCCGGCTAAGGCTGTGATGATACTTACAATCAGCTCGATGTCGCCATCCGCGCCTGCGTTGTCTTCCATGACTGCCACCTCAAAGCCCATGTCCTGGATGAGCTGAGCTATCCTGGGTGGCTGGATGACCTCGGGATTATACTTGACCTCTGCTTTTCCCGACATCAAGGCAACCAACACCGAGAGAACACCTAGAACCATCAAGTCACAGCTGTGACACTCTGGGCATGGTGTCTGGGATGACATGGTCAACACAGTCAAGCAAAGAAAAATGTCTCCTCAGAAACCTCTGGAGTGGTGGGGAAATTATAAGTTAACTTTACGAGCAGCCAGCCCACGGATGGCAAAGGAACTCTTGCAGCACCTCGATTTGAGCACAGTCATCGTGGAGGCCCAGGAAGCTGTGGAGCACAGCTGTGGAGCAGAGGCTGGAGGAACCCGTCATCCTCCCTGAGGGCTGACTGAGGGCCAGGAGCCCAGCCTAAGACACATGGAGCCACAGGTGTGGAAAGAGAATGGACTCTGGAGGCAGGGCTGAGTCACGGCTCAGGCAATTCCAAACAAAATGGGGACAGGATTTTTGTTGTATTTTCAGATTTAAAAGACAGTATTGGAAATATAGCTTAGAGGATAAAACTTAGGTAGTTCCACAAAACTCTATGGTTTCAGGGACAACAGAATGGAATATTTGAAATCAGAATTTCTACACAAAATGGAGATAATTCACTCATTTTACGGGAAGGGGTGGGTGAGAAGGGAAAGGGAGGATATTAAATAACACAAGACAAACTAATTGAGAAGTCTAGCCACAGAATGTACCATAACCTTTAAGTTGGACTTTCCAAGGCTAACTTACTCAGAGATACAGTTTATCTCAAACTAAATAGAGAAAGAATGCCAATTGCCCAAGAACATTAGACAAACATCTACACTACCGCACACAATGGATTTGCTGCCAGATTGTCAGGGCTCTTGATAAACGCTGCCATGGAGACTCTGAGGGGAGACCATGCAGCCCGCACACAGCATTTTCAAGTTCAACATGGGGCCAGATCTCTTACCAGTTTCTTTCTGAAGATTCCTTTCTATGTTAGACACACAGGATGCACAGGTCATGCCTTTGATCTGCAGAAAGCACTTCTGTGGTGCTACTGTACCAGTGGGTGGTGGGAAATTTGGCAAGGGGCCAGCGCTGTGTTTTTTAGGGAGCACTCCACCATGGGGAGCCATTTCCGGCACAGACACAGAGGTGCCAGCCAGAGTTTGCTGCATGGTATTCCCCACACCATGGCTTCCAGCATGGTTGGCAGAATACTTTTCTAGGAAAAAATGTCAGAAATAATTCAAGTTAGAAGAACAAGTAGTATTTTTTTTTTTTTCAGAACAGGAAGCTCAAGCCTGATAATATTCAGGTAAAAGCTCCTAAAGAAGCAATGTGGGGATTGATGTTTCCACCTCTGTCTCTCCCTCCCTATGACCAGGAGGGGATTGATGTTTCCACCTCTGTCTCTCCCTCCCTATGACCAGGACAGAAGCACACAACTACAGACACGTGAAAACATACAGTGCTTTGGGGTGACAGCTCTGGGCAGGTGAATGCTCTTGCTTAGAAGACAGTAGTGGTGACAGTAGCCAGACTAACTCCAAGGTCTGTGCCTTTGACCATCGACTCTTCCCTGTGAGCAGAGGCATGGCTCTCCCCATGAGCATCTCATCTTCATGGAGCTGTCTGCCTTTTTCTTAATGCTTGTACAAGTCCTACGCACAATCTAGACATACATCCTTTGTCAGCTGGGTGCCCTGCAAATGTCTCCTCCCAGTCTGTGGTTTATGTTTTTGCTCTTCTACTGGTATCTTTTGGTAAATGAAATCTTTGATGTTAAGAAAGCTCAATAGCAATTTCTCTTTTAAAGGGTTAGCACTTTTTGTGCTCTCTTGATGAATGTCTTCCTCAACATGGCAAAAAAAACATTTGTGACGTTTTCTTCCAGAACCTCTATTGTTTTTATACATACCCGCATTCAAGGCTATGATATACTTCAATTATTTTTTTGTGTAAAGGTAACAGTCGACGTTAATGTTTTTTTGCAATTATAATCCAGCTTCACAGACTGAAAAGACTACTCTTTCTCCACTGGTACCTTTGCTATAAATCAGGAGAACACACAGGTACAGGCTTGTTTCTGGGCTCCATTATGTTCTCTGATATTTTTTGTCTATTCTTGTGTCAGTACCACACTGCCTTTTTTTTGGGGGGGGGTGGGTAATTTACTTAGAATAAGATGTGTAAATCAGAAGAATACTATTCTTAATCTTGATATACTGAATTAGTTTCCTACTACTCCTATAACAAATTACCACAAACTCAGCGTCTTTAAGACCACAAATGGATTTTCTAGCAATCCTATAATCAGAAGTGCCACATGACTCTTCCCAAGTGAAAATCAAGGTGTGGACAGGGTTGTGGCCTTCAGGAGGCTCTAGGGAAGAATCTATTCCCTGCCTTTTCCAGAACCTAAAGGCCACCTGCATTTCCAGATTTGTGGCCCCATTCTGCCATCTTCAGTTATCAACCCTGAATCGGTGACATCTCTAACCCAGTCAGTAAAGGGTTCTCCGCTTGTAATGACTGATGGGATCTTACTGCGCTCATCTGGATAATTCAGCATTCCGTATCTCAAGGTCCACTCCTTCCATCACATCTATGAAGTCCCTTTTGTCATACAAGGTAACATTCCATTTCCAGGAATTAGGGTGTGGACCCTTGGGGACCATTATCTGCCTACCTGTAACTACCACCCAGATCAATACATACTATAGAGAAAGTCACACTATTTTGATAATTCAAAAATACCTTTAAGAGCATGTGGAAAAGAATCCTATTATTTAACGATAGAGTCTCTCAGACAAAAAAAAAAAAAAAAAATTAGCAATGATCTGTACTGACTGTGGTCCATAACTTAATTCTGCATGAATCTCACATACTGGATGCTTTGCGCATTTTCTGCAGAGGGGTGAACTACTTCCACTTGCTCCTTCCCTGGGGAGATCTGCTGGGGCTCCTCTCTGAGGTCTCCTCCCAGGGCCTATGTGGCTTCTCAGCCAACATCCCTGTGATTAGTTCCCTGCAACACTCCTTCATGGAGTACCCCAGGACCCTGCTTTTCACAGTCTACTCCTTCACAAATGCCTGTGATGTTCTGGGTGCTCAAGAGTCCCAGGAGAAACAAATTTGAAGTCTGTCCCCTAAGAGCTCCTAACCAATCCAAAGGGAGTTGTACCAAATACAAATAATACCTTGTAAGCATTTAAGTAGTTATAATGGATAGTCACACCAAAGCACTCATGGCTTATCCTAAATTAAAACTGCTAGGTAAGACACAGGTATCCAGTTAAAGTTCCATTTCCATAAATAACCAATGATTTTTTTAGTGTAAATATATAATAAATGTTCATACACTAAAAACAACAACAACAACAAAAACTTGCACTATTTTTCTACAGTTCAAATTCACCTGGGTGTCCTATATTCTCATAATCCTGGGCTAGATGTAATTCTTATTCTATAAAATAAAAACTACTTCTTTCTAGGTTTACTCAGTCAGATCCAATTATTCTGTAATATGTAGTTCAATTCTCACTTCTTTTTTAAAATTTTTTGTTTTAATTAGTTACACATGACAGTACAATGACCTTGACATATCATACATTTGAATCAGATGCAATATAATTTCTCATTATTCTGAGCATACAGGTTGCAGAATCACATTGGTCATGCAGTCATGTATATACACACAGTAATAATAATGTCTCTTTTATTCTACTGTCCTTCCTGATCACATGCTTGGAAGACTATACCTCACAGAAAAACAACAAATGCTGACCCTATATTTCTTCCTTTTAAGTACAGAATTTACTGTGCTATGCTATTGTGTTTTCTTTATTGATTTTTTTAACTGTTTCCCAGGGTGCAGTAAGATTGATTGGGGGCAGGGGGACAAAACAAAACCCAAAACTCCTTCCTGAAATTTGGTACAAAGGACAAAGAAAGTGGCCAAGCCACCCCATGTGACTTACCCAGCCCTTTCAATGGTGGGTGTGCTGTGTACAGAGGGGAGGCAGGGAAGTTTCACAATACAGCAAACTTTCCAAGGACGCCAACTTTATCTTGGTTACTAGAGGAACAAAATGTGGGAACCAAAGTCCCCCAGGCCCTGGCTGCTGCCACAGGCCCTGTGTGTGGGTGCTGGGTTGCCTCTCTCTGTAGCAGCAAGCTCCAGCCAAAAGGCTACCATATCTGGTTCAGCCCACAGATTTGGAGGACACACAGGACCTGCATCCTAGACCTAAACAGTTATTACTGAGTTGACCATCATCAACTGTGGCCCTTCTGCCTACAGTACCCACAGCTCATCCAGGTACTCAGCAACCCATGGGGCCTGAGGCAGAGGATCTCTTAATCCCAGGAATTCAAAGCCAGCCTGAGAGAGTAGCTGGGACTTACATAGTGAGACCTTGTCACACACATAAAAGAAGTGCCCTTCCCTCCTGTTCTTCAGCCCTCTCTGGAACACCCCCATATCCATTGGTCCGAGGCTTAAGGGAGCTATTTTGTGCTTGATGGCAGCTTCAAATCCCATATCACTTACATGGTCCCTGAAGTCTTCAGGTTGAATAAGATAAAGTTGTAAGTGAGGACTACCTCTTGGTTCTGAGCAAAACTTTGACTCTCACCTCTCTGTCCCCCTCACTACCATGCAGCCTGGACTCCCACTTTCCCAATGTCCTGAAGCAGCCAGTGGTCACCCCCCACTAACCCTGAGAGACATTTCACACCTTTGCCTCTGTGGCAAATTTCAGCAGGCCACACTCCAATCACTGAGAGATTCTCCTTTATGCTCCCACCTCCAGACTCCATCTTCTTTCCCTTCTCCCATTCATTCTTCTGAGGTCTCTGTTCTTGCCCAGGACTCCCACATTCAAATCTGCATCTCTAGCCCCACACTATCTTCAAGCATCAGGAGGGGCTCCTCCTAGGTTCTGCCTCTCCCCCGGGCCCTCCCCCATCACACACAACTCCTAGCAAGGGCAAACTTGGTGGCTCTGACCTCCCCACTTTCCAAGTGGAGGACTAGCCTCCCTGTCCTTCTGCTTGGGCCATTCTGCATCCTTCCACAGCTCCCCCCACATATTGCCAGGCTAAGGCCACTGCCCAGGCTGCCCTGGCTACACAGGCTGCTTCCTCTGCTTCCGATGGTCTTGGTCCTCCCTTCCCTCCCCACACCTCTCTTGGTTGGCAAAGACAAAGCCTGGGATCATGTTGGACTTGTCCTTCTGACAGCAATGGCTTACTTCCATCTCCCTTCACTGCAATATAAGCTCTTAGGACAGACTGTCTTCCTAGCACAGACCCTGGCACGCGGCATGCAGAAAGGGTTGAGATGATGCTGCACTGCAGGCTCTCAAGTTAGAGAAAAGAGGGGCAGGGATGACCACCTCTCAGGAAACAGAACAGGTGGAGGCCTTTCCTTCGTGAAGACTGTCATATCTACCCTGCCAGCCCTATTCCCATCAGAGGGGCAAGGGCAAAAGCCTTCCCTTCATTCCCACTTTGAACAGAATGGCCTCTGGGTGCTGAGACTACGATTCTGTTGTTTTTATTATTTTGCTTTACTTAGCAGAGAAAATCTTCAAAGCAAATTTCTCCTTGGTAAAAGAAGGGTCTCCTGCTCTGTTTTAGGACACAGAATCAGAATTCTTTCCAGAAAAGAAGCCCAGATTAGAAGTTTAGCATTTCACAGCCAGCTACCTGAGAGCAACACTTGGAAATCCCATTTCCTCTCTCCTGACCATTTTGATGCGAGGAGAGGATACAGAATCTTGCTAACTGTCAACAGGAGAGACAACAAGCCAGGAACCTTGTTTAACGACACCCAGATACACCCTAGGACAAGCTTTGAACATCTATCAACACATACCAGGAATCACTGAGGCTTCAAATCCCATGTCTTCTATAGCAGCTCTGAGTTCTTCCGGGCTAATTACAGAGGGATCATAAAGAAAAGTTCCAGTCCCTTCAGCCAAAGAGACAGATACTCGCTTTACCCCTTCCCGCTGGGAAAGTATGCCTTCGATGGACTGGATACAGGACGCACAGGTCATGCCGGTGATGGCAAGCACCACGGTGCTGCATGCAGCCTGCCCCTGGTTTCTCTGGGAGGAACTGAGGAAATGCTGGTCAGAAGTCTCACCGTCTGTCCCAGTCCCTCCTGCTCCAGCAGGAAGAGAAACTTTATAGTGCCCAGGTGGAAGTGCCTCAATGGCCCTCTTTAAAGACACAGGAGTGATAGAAGAAGGGTCATACTCTACTAGGGCAGTTTTGTTCTCCAGGGACACTTGAATACCTTGAACCCCTGGGAGTTGGCCAATATTGTTTTCAATGTTCAAGACACAAGAGTTACAGTGCATTCCATCGATTCCCAGTTGCAGGGTAACCACGTGGCTTCCTTGGTGCCCTGAGGTCTCAGAATTATTGAAATTCTGATTAGCAGAAGCCGACAGTCTCTTTGGGTTAATGCTCTGTAAGCGGCCAATATCAATTGGTCCCAGGCTTAAGGGAGCCGTTTTGTGCTTGATGGCAGCTTCAAATCCCATATCACTTACATGGTCCCTGAGGTCTTCAGGTTGAATAAGATAAGGCTGGTAAGTGATGACGGCCTCTTGGTTGCTGAGTGAAACTTTGACTCTCACCACTCCCTGCAGTTTCCGGATCTTGCCTTCGATGGAGTTGACACAGGACTGGCAGGTCATGCCCTCCACCCTCAACTTGACCACTGCCTCCTGGGCTGGTAAGGACCTTGAAGGCCATGAGGAAGCTTTTCCTTCTGCAATGCTGGCCTCGAAGCCCATTTCCTCAATTTGATGGCAAATCTGTTGCAGGCTCATGACTGATGGCACGTATTTCACAGTTGCGCTGCCTTGTTCCAGAGAAACCTTAATGCTCACGACGCCTTTCAAACCAGATATTCGGCCCTCGATGGACTTGACACACGACTGGCAAGTCATACCCTGGACGCTGATCGTGCCAGTGGCTGTCTGAGAAGGGCACATGCCATCCAGACCACCTTCATAGCCGACATTGTCAAAGGCAAAACTCTGCTTCATGGCTGGGTCCCAGGAATGAGTAGGCACAGAAAGTTTAGAGAAGATCTAAAAGGAAAAGAAATAACATTTTTTTAGCTTTAAAATCAAATACTTTTTACAGTATCCCAGCTTGCTTGGCACTAGAAATGGTGTCAATAACACTGGTGTCAGGACATTCCACAGGTACGAGAACATAAAACAGACAAAAGTGGAGGCATCATTTACTAAATGAATGGGCTCATGTGAGTCCCCTTTAGCTCTGACATTCTGTGATTATGAACCTAGCAGTCAGTCACTGTCTGCCCACCTTAGTGAAAGGCCTTTCTCACCCAGCAGACGCGGGAATTTTCTGAAGTACAGCAAGACCTGGCTTTATGCACAGAACACAGCAAGACTGGGCTACGACAGAGGCTGAGACCTCAAAGACAAGGCCTAGGTGTCCTTCCTTCTGGCTGATACCTGAGACCCCAAAGAACTTGCTCCTTTTAGCTAAAACTATGCAGGGTCCTAGTGAAATGCAACTCCCAGAACAGGCAACCCCTTAATTCTGTGTATCTTTCTAGAAGTCAGTCTGGATCTTGGTATAACTAGATCTTGCCTTCAATGGAATTGGCACAGGACTGGCAGGTCATACCCTCCACCCACAACTTGACCTTTGGGCATAGGCTACAAACTCAGACCTCCCAGGCCTGGAAGAGTTGGAATCAACAGGTGGACTACATGTCAGCAAAGAAAGGTCTAAAGATATGCTGAGGCAAAATGAGCATAAGTGGCTAGCCAAGAAGGGCAAAAGGGAGAATCAGGAAGAACGGGAAATTCAGTTCCTGGATCTATTTTCTTTTCCCACATTTTTTTCAGTGTATTACAGTTGTACATAATGATGGGATTTGTTGCTACATATTCCTATATATACACAAGAAAACAAAACAATTTGGTCAATATCATTCCCCAGTATTTCTCCCCTCCCTTCCCCTGGTCCCTTTCCTCTCTAGCTTCCACATTTGAGAGGAAACATACAATCCTTGACCTTCTGAGTTTGGTTTATTTTACTTAACATAATGTTCTTGAGTTCCACCCATTTTCCTGCAAATGACATAATTTTATTTTTCTTTGTGACCAAATAAAAATCTATTGTGTATATATATATATATATATACCACATTTTCTTTATCCATTCATCCACTGATGACACCTAGGCATGTTCTGTAGTTTGGATATTATGGATTGTGACTGCTATAAACATGGACATGCATATATCACTGTAGTATGATGACTGAAATTCTTCAAGATAAACTGAGGAGTGATACAGCTGGATCATATGGTGGTTCCATGCCCAGTCTTTTGAGAAACCTCCATACTGATTTCCATGGTGGTTGTACCAATGTACAATCTATTATGGTTTAGCTAATAGGTGTCCCCTAAAAAGTTCATATGTGAGACAATGCAACAACATTCAGAGGTGAAATGATGGGGTAGTAAGAGCCTTAACCCAGATGGGAATTAACTGACTGTTAACTGAAGGGAGATAGGTGTAGATGGAGGAGGTGGATCACTAGGGGGTGTTTGGAGTACATATTTTGTATCTGGCAAGTGGATTCTCTCTGCTGCCTGATCATTACGTGAGGCATTTCCCTTCATCACATGCTTCCACCATGATGTTCAGCCTCACCTTGAGCCCTGAGGAATAGAACTGGCTATTAATGAACTGAGACCTCTGAAACTATGAGCCCCCAGTACAAAATTTTCCTCCTCTAAAATTGTTATTTCAGGTCTTTTAGTCACAGCAGAAAAAAAAAAAAAAAAAACACTGACTAAAACACAACCCTAAAAGTAGTCTAAAAGTGTTCCTTTTCCTCCACCTCCTCTCCAGCATTTATAATTGTGTATATTCTTGATGGCTGCCATTCTGACTGATATGATATGAAATCTCAGTGCAGTTCTGATTTGCATTTCCCTAATTACTGATGATGTTGAACATTTTTTTCCATATGTTTGTCAACTATCTGTAATTCTTTTTTTTTTTAAGAGAGAGAGAGAGAGAGAGAGAGAGAGAGAGAGAATTTTAATATTTATTTCTTAGTTTTCGGTGGACACAACATCTTTGTTTGTATGTGGTGCTGAGGATCGAACCCAGCAACCCCAGCCCTTCCCAGAACTTTTTACTTTTTTATCTTGAGACAAGGTCTTGCTCAGTTGCCCAGGCTGGCAGCTGAGCAAGTGATCTTCTTGCCTCTGCCTCCCCAGTAGCTAGGATTACAGGTATGTACCACTACACCTATCTGTGATGATACCTATTAAAATAACAAATTCACATCCTTTTTGACTTCAGCAACTCTATTTCTGAGAATTTTTCCAATAATTATATTTCTTTATGTGAAAATGAAAGCATGTAACAAAGATTTAAATGCTATAAAAGATAAGAAAAAACAAATTTCCATCTGGTTAGTCTGGTTATTTAAATTATTATAACCATACTACCCAGTTCTTAAAATGAATGAGGCAGCTTTGAACATACTTTGTTCAGGGGAAAAAGCAAGGCACAGAACAGAGGGTATGTGTTTCTGTTATCTACTGTTATGTGACAAACCAAATTTAGCAGCTTACAGAGTTTTTCCACTTGGACAGGGCTCAGCAGGGAAAGCTCATTTCTGCTCTAACAGCACCATCTGGGCAGGGGGGCCTGAATAGAGCCACCCTCAGCTGGATGGTGGTTCATTCAGCACAAGGCTGCCAAACTGATGTTGGTTACCAGTTGGAGGTTCCATTGAGGCTGGTGGCAGGACCTGTTTTTTTCTCCTTATAATGAAGTGGGGAATCTCACAGTTGGTGACTCCTAAGTTCTGAGAGCAAGTGTCACAATGACAAGCATTCTCACAGAACAAGTCTCAATGTGCAAGCACTTATCAAAATTCCCATTAGCCAAAGCCAGTCACATGGCCAAGCACAGTCAATGTGAAAGGGAATTACCCAGAGCATAAGTGCAAGCAGGTGCAGTTCACTGAGAGGGCCACCACAAGTTTACCACAGTAAGCCAGCACTCTATGACACAAGAAACCATTATGCAAATGAATCATCTCTGAGTGAATGCATAAGAAATCGGTCCAGAGTTTTGCAGAGGACTGAGCAGCTGAAGGAATCAGGTAGCTGGGATACAAGGAAAAAAAAAGTCATGTACACTGTACAGATTAGTGTACAACGTACATGCATTAACAAATTCTAAAAAAATGATTAATTTCAAAATTAAAAGAAAATATCATGAGTGCAAAGGAGATCCAGAACAGAGACTTGTTTATAGTTGGCACTAATTAAACACTGATTTAACTTAAGGGATGAAGGAAAAACTAAGAATATATTTAAGGACACTCACTTTCATACAGTGTCTTCTTAGTAGAAATTGCCTCCTTTTAATAAGACATCACCCTCACCCATCTAGTCTGTTCGAAAAACAAATCCCTAATGATTTACTACCCAACTTATGTCCTGGTCCTAGCTCTAGCGACAATTTACCAAATCCAAGCCACAATGCTGGCTCTTAATCTGTGGATGGTTGAACTTACACTCCTGCCAAAAGGATGTGCAGAAGTGTTGGAAGCTATTTGCTTGTGACAAACAACACTCACAGGTACCCCTTTCTAGACAAGCAGGTTTCTAAGGACCAGCAGTTATAAGAAACAAGAATTGCAAATAACACGTCTTTGTGAAACACTTGAGTACCTCTTGGTTCAGGAACCATCTCTTAAGTGTAGACACATGGTGTGTGTGTGCTTTCAGTTCAATTCTTCAACTAATACAATCTTTGGGGAAGAAGAAAAATCCTCCTATTGTGTTTTATGTCAAACTAACAAAGGTTTAGATTTAAGGGATGTTGGACAGCAGGCCGGAGCTGTGAGCCTTGCAAAAGCCCTGGTTTTTCTCCTATTCCCACCCAATTCCACATTCCCTATAAACATTTGGGGCTTTTTCTGCATACCCAACACCATGTTGGGGAAAAACTTTGCAAGCCCTTGAATTTTTAATAAACTATTCATATGGTGGCCATCAAGATTAGAAGGAACTGGGACTTGGGTTGTGGCTCAGTGGTAAAGCACTTCATAAAGATGAAAAGATGCATAAGGTGAGGCACGGGAAGGAACAGAGCTTCCACGCCCTCCCTGTGTGAGCCACCTCCAAGAACCTCCAGGAACCTTCACAAGTTCAGCAATCTGGAGGCTGACCAAATCTGCCCTTTTAGGATTTTATGAAAGCTCTAGTTCATAACACGATTGATTAAATCACTGGTCAATGGGATCAATTTAACCTTCATTCCCTCTCCCCTCCCAAGAGGTTGGGAAGTGGGGCTGAAAGTTCCAACTCTCTCCTTTGATTTTGGTCTTTCCTGTGACCAGCCACCATCCTGAAGCTACTTGGTGGTGGCACCGGTCAATTCATTAGCATACACTGCTTTGAAGATTCCAAGGATTTCAGGAAAAGGAGGAAGACCAAATGAATATTTCATAATATAGCAACTAGTCACTTCTGAGATCTCATTAGTTATACCTGGATCTCCATCATCCTTAACAGGACACTACTGGGCTACTTCTCTTTGAAACTTCTTTCACTGTGAAGGATGTGTAATGTTCTTAACAACCTATGCAGCAAAAGCAATATAAGTGATGCAAATTTTCCAAGATAAAACCTCCATCTTCTAAATATTCCACACTCTGAACTTTCAGGGAATGCAAAGCACAGAAAAGTCCTGGTTCATATATTCATACACACACACTCAAGAACAGCAAATAATGAATGATTCTGGGTGTTATTTTATAAAGATGGATGGCATTTTATATCCCTTATGCTCACAACAATTCTAGCAGAAGGTATGTTTGCTTTTTTTTACTGTTGAAACAACTCTGGAGTTTATTCAAGTCCACAAATCAATTTAAATAATAGAGCTGGGGTTGAAATCCAGTTCAAAAATCCAATAGGCTCTGTATTTTCTTAAAACAACTTCTAAGGTTACCTTTTTAAAAATCCATATTATTACAACAAGTGACTATAATGCAGCAAAGAAAACAAAGGCAAACAGC